CATCATACGTCCCAGCATCATTGCAAGTCTCGATAAAGTGCGCTATATGTTGTTTGGAATTTCCTTTGCCATCAAATTATTGAAGCTTAGGAGGTTGATAGCCCTTAGGCATTTTCAAGTTATCAATCCTTTGCGTATATGCCTTTGCATATGTGGGAGAAAATTTGGATGAAGGCTCAGATTTGTCTTCAATAGCCTCTATATATGATAAAGTCCTTCAATTGATCAATTGAAATCAAACCTTTAGCTGAGATGTGAATCTCTTTGATCTTTGTTTGCTTTACGCAAGACTCTCCTTCCTCTTGAATTTTAGAAAGCTTCAGAGGTGCTTGACTCGATCTTCTTTCAATCATGTTATTCATCTTATTTGTTAGCTTGAAAAGTTTAGAATCTTGTTCGTGAGCACAATAAAATTCGCGTCGAGAAAACAATAATCAAGAGCGGAAAAATTATCGCAACAATCGTTTTATTGATTTAAAGTGCGAGTGTTATAATCTCTATGATTTCTCTGAATTCGCCTTTTCAAATATAAATTCAAGGTCAGCTTAATCTTGAATTTGACTTTAACTTGCACTTAATCTTCATCTTGAACTTGAACTTTATCTTGATCTTGATTTTTAGTTGAATCCAAGGGCTTCGAGCTTGATCTTAAATCCGGCGGTCTTGATCTTGATCGTTCTTGAACTTGAGTCTTTATCTTGATCTTGACTTCTAGTTGAATCTGAGGGCTTCGAGCTTGATCTTGAATCCGGTGGTCTTGATCTTGATCGTTCTTAAACTTGATCTTGACTTCTTCAGATCTTGAACTTGAACTTGAACTTTATCTTGATCTTGACTTTCTAGTTGAATTCAAGAGCTTCGAGCTTGATCTTGAATCCGGTAATCTTGATCTTGATCGTTCTTGAACTTGATCCTTGACTTCTTCAAATCTTGAACTTGAACACTTAACTTCTTCAATTCTTGAATTCTCGAATTCTTGAACTTATAGCTTGTAGATAAATTGCGGCTTTTGATTTGCGAGATTTCTCTAGCTTCTTGTTCGAATTCTTGGTTCTTTTTTCTGAATTATGAGGACCCCTATTTATAGTTTTAAAATAGAGGAGTTGTGATTAGAAGAGGACTCCTTTCGGCCAATCAGATTTAAGTGACATGACATATGAGCTTTATAGAGCGGACTTTAATTAAATCTATATTTATTAGATTTAAATAATTAACCTAATTATATTAATCCATAATATTTATTTGGACTAATATATTCATAAATTTAATATAATCCGAATCATTTTATAAATTTATATTTAATAAATTTTAAATAACTACAATGTCATCACTTATTCAATAAATATCATAGTTTTAACTCCATAATTTCAATATTATAATAAATTTAATATTAAAAATCTTAATTTAAAATTCTAAATTTGTTCATGTCCATGCATTTGAATTAAGCTCAATAAATTGAAATAAATATAATACTCCATTTATTTTTATTTGTCATGTTGCGCTTTTCGAAAGTGAATTTGACTAATTTTTAAAGTTAAATTAGATTAAATTACATTAATTCAATATTTTAAACAAAAAATTTAGATATTCAAAAACTATATGAAAAATACTACTTATAAATTACAATTATTTTTACATATTAACATAATGAAAAAATACATAATAAAATATTAGTCAATTTTTTTATAATTTAACTATAAATAAAGACTATAACAATTAAAAATGGATATAGGGCGTAATATTTTAAGCTATAAATGGTAGGGAAAAGACAAACAAAACAGAGCCACTATAATGTTTTGTTGAAAATGACATGTGAGGTGCTGTTATTTACAAACCAAAAAAAAACGTGTTCTCTAGGTATGCTGAACCCTCTAATTGAATCTGTTTATTAAAAAAATTGGATTTTTCGCGGTTGCGGAATCAAAAATTTTATTTAAATTTTTTTAAAATAAATACTTATATGAAGCAGTCAAATATTTAAAATAAACACCCTTCACATTTTTGAACCCGAAACAATTGGAAAGGAATTTTTTTTATTTTTTATTTTAAGATACATTTGAAAACAAATTCAATAGAAATGGGTGGAGTCTGTAACTCAGAAGGGAAATTCGGATGAAAAAAAAATATTTATGTGATTCTTGTTATAAATTTAAATTACTTTTAATTTTATATATTATTAAAATAACACAATGAAAAATCAAAGGAAGATAGTTTTAGGAGAATTTTATCTTCCATTTTGTTATTTAATGTAATATTTATAATATCATCTCCTTTTATAGCTTGGGATTGACTTCTCTATGCGAATAAGACACAATAATTGCTTCTATACCATAATAAAATTATAATATTTTGTTTTCTTAATTATTACAATCATATAACTATCATCAATACAATTTATCATTTTTAATTTACGTCATTAACCCCCACCCCCCTTCAAGTTTGGAGCATAAGGATCCAAAATGTCAATTTACCAAGTAGATGTTGTAAAAAGATTAATCAATTGTTTATTTGTGGGGACATAATTCAAAAAATAGTTGCTTCCTTGTCCCAAGAGGACTATAATAATTACTCCATCCGTTTAAAAAAGAGTGACCTAGTTTAACTTGACACGGAGTTTAAGAAAATAAAGAAGACTTTTAAATCTTGTAGTCCTAAATTAAAGTTATGTCAAATGTACAAAATTATTCTTTAATCTTGTGGCCTTAAACATGTCCCGTGGAAAGCTAAAACTAAAATGTTATCAAAAAAAGAAAAAGTTCATTATTTTTAACCAGACTAAAAAGAAAATGACGTCATTCTTTTCGAAATGGAGGGAGTAATTTTTTGTTCCAATATAATTACAATAATTTTTTTAATTATCTTATTCGTGAAAAGTTATAAGTAATACTTGTCAAAAAAGAAAGAGAATTTTCTTAAAAATAAAAAATTGATAAAGTAATAATTATAATAAAACTATCTTCCACTTTCTTAAATTCTATAATAATTTAAAATAAAACAATCAAATTAAAACAAAAAAATAACATAATTTTACATAACTACCAAAAATACTTTGTTATATTTACTTCATTTAAGTACGTAATATAATTTTTAACCTAACTCCTAATCAATCAACATTTTTATGTATACTCTTAACGCCATATTTCAAACATTATAATAAATTCAATTCTGAAAATTCACTACTATAATAATTATATATTTATATTTCTGAATTAAATTAGGACGATGTATATATAATATTATAAGCCATAAAGGTAAGTGAAAAAGACAAACTAGGAAAAAGTCACCATGATAATTTTCTACGAAATTTCTTCACCACCAATTTAGTTTAATATTAGCATATGTACGTGCATTAGAAATTGTGCATGCACGTGTATGTTTCTGCACCTCACTAGTATCATGTGCATGACGAGTTGATTTTATAAATGAATGAGGTTAATATATTTTCAATTTCGATTAACGTCTAAAATAAATTATAAATATTTATAACTATAAATAGTTTCTTAAAGTACCAATGAGTATTTTAAAATTTAATTGTTATTAAATATAAAAATATATCATATTTTTCTTTAAGCTGACTAAAAGTAAAGAGTTATATACATTGAAATAAAGAAATACCTTATTTAGATAAAAGTGTTAAACAATAATAATATAATTAATTTAATTTTATAAATAAAGCATAAAAAATACCTCAACCAATTTTACGGAGTCATAGGGTAAAAAAAATGAACTTTTTCATATAAAATTTTAGTCAAATTAAATAATTAAAGATCCAAAAGTTAATGTAATATATTCGTTGTAATTTATGTGATGTAATTAATTTAATACAAATTTAAAAATAATAATTTTGATTTGTAATTTAAAATTAGTGTTGTGAAACAATAAATTAGTCCATTTAAAATAAAATAAAATTCAAACATTAAATCATTATTAATATAAAATTGGAACTGATTAAAAAAAATTATGATATAAATTATGAAAGAGAAAATATATACTCTATTATGTTTCTGCACCTAACTCGCATGACGTGTTACTATTGACGAGTTCAGAATTTTATAAAATACATTTTATGAAGATCTCAACGTTAGTAGTAGTAATAATAATAATAATAATTTAAAAAAAACTTATAATTAAATATTTATATATATTTAATAAAAATATTTAAATTCACGTAAATTATAGATTCGTACTGTTTAAGCATGGTTGGTGCATGAAGGGAGCATCACTAAAATCCATAAATCTGAAGCAGATCTATGCTATCAAATTGACTTTTAATAATGTAATGCAGTAGAAAAATTAATCTTATGTAATTAGTGTATAAAACACATTAAATTTTTATATAAAAAGCTATTATTTCAAAATCTTTAGGTACGAATATGTTAGATATATGTGACTTCTTTGATAAAATAATATATCTTGTGAAAAACTCGCTTTTTTGCTGTGATTGAGCATTCATAATTGTGGTCAATAAGAATCCAAAAATTATATCAAAAGATATTTTTTTTTTAAAAAAACACATCACATGTAAGATCTTTTTTATTTAATTTCATATATATATTAATTAATTTTAATATGTACATATAAGAATAAAGTGCTTCCTAATAGATTTTTTAAAATTCATATTCCAAATTTCAACCACAGATTTTTAATTAAAAGTAGATGAATTTTATCCCACCACAATCCTAATTACTAAAATCATACCCATGACAAGTAATTTCTTTAACTTTGTTTAATATTATAATTAAATAATACAAGAAAAGGTTAATATATCTAGAGACTATAATCACCATACATATATTTATTACTGTATCTGTCTCAATTTATATATATATATATTTTAATCTGTTCTAAAAAAAAGGTTAGTTTTTTATAATTAGATATAACTTAATGAAATGTCATATATTTTCCTTTTTTAGTCTGTAAGTATATCAAATCAATAAGTAGTAATAAAAATATAATTTTGATGATGAGTTTTAGACACCTAACACTAAAACTATTGTGTTGTTAAGTTCCTATTCTACCCTTATATATACGACTAAATCGATGGTCTCCTCACAGTTTCAGCCATGGCTTCCATGATCGAATCTGCTTGGGCGGTACTATTCTCTTCTCTCTCCTCATTTTTTCTATCTGTTAGAATTTTTTTACATTTTATTCTCGAAATTCGTATTTCTAACCACATTCTGCATCCCTGTTTCAATGTTGATTGTTCTAGTTCAGTTTGGGTGCATTGTGAAACAATGCATTTATGAGCAAAACGGAACAGCATATGCGAAAAATTTTAATAGCTCAGTTAGTTGGTTATCTGAACTTTTAATTTTGTTGATGAGTGTTCGATTTCTCCGTCGTTTTTTAGTTTTCGCCGGAAGTTAGTCGGAGATGTGTTTGTATGTCGGAAAATATTTTAAATCTTCATTTTCTGTTGTCACGTACTTTTATTTTCACACACTTGGTATTATTATGAACTTTTAGTACTACAAAAGTTTTTTTTTTTTATCAAAATAATATTCGATTTTTGATATAACTATTGATTTTTTGTTAATATATATATATATATATTTTATTTATTTTATTTATTTTTATTTTTCAGTAAAATTTTTTTCTAAAAATAAGTGGACGTTTGAAAATTTTACTTTATTAGGAATTTGGAGTTATGTTGAATCATATTTTTTGTAATAAATATTTAGAAATTTGGTATTTTTAAAAAAAAAATCTGAAATATAATTTAAATGGGGTTATTCAAGAGTTGAATTTGCATTTTTTATGACCAAACAAAGTGATTTTTTTCTTTTGAAAAACTAAAGTAAAAAATTCTCATCTTTTCTCCGAAATCTGTGTAAGCAGCCATTCTAGCTTGTCTATGGACTTACGTATGTGTTCGGTACAAAGAAAAATACTACTGAAAAGAACGAGAAGAAAGAAAAAGAAAAGCAGCTGAAAATGGAAAACGACCTATTGGTTCTGATAACTGCTTACGATACTAATTTTCAGTTTCATTTACAGAAGCATTACCATATTTCTGACTAAAAGATCAGAAACTCGATTTGATATCATGTATGTGCTATTTTCAGATTCATAATCTTTACAAAAGCATTACGACATTTCTGACTAACAGATCAGAAAAACTTGATTTGATATGATGTATGTGCTATTTTCGCCAAACTGTTTGATATAGAATAAAAGATGTGCCATTTCTTTTTGGTAATGTTTCAGAGATGATCATTCTTTTTGTTGTTTGTTACTCCCTCTGTCCCAATTTATATGACTTACTTTCCTTTTTAGTCAGTTCCAAAAAGAGTGACACATTTCTATTTTAAGTAACAATTTGCCTATAAAAAGTCTTTTTTACCCTTAATGAAATGATTTACAACCACACAAATTTCTATCATTCATTTTGGACCACAAGTTTTAAAAGTCTTTCCATTTTTCTTAAAGTTTGTGCCAAATCAAAGTACATCATATAAAATGGGACGGAGGGAGTATGAGAGATAGGTGGGTAGAGCTAGGTGTAGGGGTGTGAAGTGGTAGGGATAGAGGTAGCTAGGGTGAAGATGAGGTGTTGGATAGCTGAGAGATATATAGTCAATGTGGAATTACTCTCATTTTTCAAGTTTCCAGAAGTTACTTGGAGGTGCATTTGATATCTCGAAAAATATTTTTCAGAAAATATGTTTTTCGAAAATCAAGTTATTCTGTGGTATATAATTGTTTAAATATAATTTTTTTTCTCACTCAAAAAGGGGAAAATGACAAACTCCCTTTTGGACGCAAGTCATTTTCCTTTTGTCTCAACTCTTAATTTCATATCACTTTGCACACTCCACATTATTATGAATCTCTAGTAATAAAAATGTTTTTATCAAAATACCATCCGATTTTTTTGACATAATTATTGCTTTTAATAAACTTTTCTACCAGTAAAATATTTTTCAGAAAATAAGTCATTTTTTGGTCTTATGATCGTCTAAATATATTGTTGAATGAAAACTTCCTCATGAAAAGTTGTTCTTTTATTGAAATACTATCTGATTGATTTAAAGGATTATCGATTTTCTAATACAATGTTTTTAAGAAAAATAAATCTTTTCTCCAAAAACATTTTTTGGTTTACCAAACCCGGTAGTTCTTTTTTCTTGTATGTACTGGTGGTGTTAGCACCAATTTGTGTGAACCTCGACTAATCTATTTGGATATGTTTGAGACTTACATGACAAAACACACACATCCTAGTGCACTCATTGTTATTTAGAGAGTAATGAGGTTGTAGTTACTTGTTTTAATGGGCCTTTTGTTTTGTTTTTTCAGTTTCTTCTTGCAAATTTTAGTGATTTCCAATTGACTTCTCTTGGAGGTTTCATTGTTCATGAGAGTGCCTTCTTCTTGTCTGGAATCCCATTCATCCTTTTTGAAAGGGCAGGGTGGTTTGGCAAGTACAAAATTCAGGTAATTACTTTTTGACTCTTGTAATGGAAATATGAATGATGTTTCTTGATCAAAATGATCCCAAACATCAATAATATTCGACTTAAGACTCGTGCACGTGTTCTGTTTTTGTTTGCATCTACTGGTTATGATGTTTCGAGTTCATTCTGTCATTATTCGGATGAATTTTCATTTTGTTGCATTCTTGACCTGTTTGTGTGCAGAAAAAGACCAACACCCCGGAAGCTCAGCAGAAATGTATTACTCGTCTGCTGATGTTTCATTTTTGTGTTAATCTTCCAATCCTGATTGTTACGTATCCGCTCTTTAAATTCATGGGGATGCGATCTACTCTTCCATTGCCGTCCTGGTATTTTCTGGTTCTCTGTATACCAAGCTTTAGTTGTGTGATGTCAACACATATACATTGTATACCTTTTTCTGATCTTGCAATCTTCGTTTCTTTTGTTTTTAGAATCCAATGCCTGATAACAAGACGATAAAACCATTTTGTGAGCCTGAATATATATGCATTGCATGTTTAGGGTATGATTATCAAAATAGGATAACTGAATGGGAGAAGTACAAGTTATATGGACAGTTGTTAGATTGACAACTATATACGGAAGTGAATGTTGGATCTCTATGGTCCAACATATCCACAAGATGATTATATTCGATAGAAGGTGCACGTAGCCTCACATAGAGAATAAGTTTTCTTTAGATGGCTCTAGTCATGTGACTCATGTCCTACATGGACATCGAGATCACCTGTATATAGATGGGGGAAATCATGGTGGTTGAAGGCGTTAAAACAGGACAAGGTAGATCTAAAATCATACGGAAGAAAGTTGTGTTGAAAGACTTATCATCCCTTAGATTCATGCAAACTTTGAGAAAGATTTGAAACAAACAACGGAAAAGAAAAGACCCATATCGGTGATACCAATTAATTGATAAATGAGGATTTCCAACTAGCTTGGAATTGAGGCGTAGCTGTTGTATAATTTTGCAAGTAGGGGTGGTAGAGCTTTTCTTTTCTGCTTATTCATCAGAGTAAATTGCAAATACTTCTTTTCTCTGCAGGAAAGTAGTTTCAACCCAAGTTTTATTCTATTTCATCTTGGAGGATTTCGTATTTTACTGGGGACACAGGGTTTTACATACGAAATGGCTCTACAAGCATGTCCACAGTGTCCATCATGAGTATGTGAACTACATTATGTTTTTTACTTAAATTCTTCGACTTCCACTTTTTCTCCCATGAAAGTCACAACTTCTGCTTGTTACACTAGGTATGCTACACCATTTGGTTTGACATCTGAGTATGCTCACCCTGCTGAAATTCTCTTCCTTGGATTTGCTACGGTAATTGGTCCTGCAATCACGGGGCCACATTTGATAACGTTATATCTATGGATCTCACTTAGAATCCTCGAGACAGTCGAGGCACATTCTGGATACCATTTCCCCTGGAGCCCATCAAACTTCTTGCCATTATATGGAGGGTCTGAACATTACTTTACTGTTAAAAATCATTCATTTGCATTCATCTGGTTTGCACGTCGTGAATGATGTTCTTATAGTTGCTAGTGTTTGTTCCCAGGTCTGATTTTCATGATTACCATCATCGGCTGCTCTACACAAAGTCTGGCAACTACTCATCGACTTTCGTTTACATGGACTGGTAAGGCTTCCATACATTGCCTTTATTAGTACTCTAGTGTACAGCTAACTCTGTACATATTCAAAGCTACTAGGTTCGGCTGATCCCGTAACTAACACTCTAGCTCCTCCTCTAGTTCCGAAAGCTATACATCTCTCTGCTTATGCTCAATAAAACTTGGTCTTTTGCATAATTTCTCTTAGCAATTCTTGATCGTATACTTCCGCCACATCGTTGTTGTTGTTGTTGTTGTTGTTCTGTTTCCCAACTAATATTGACCAAGGGAGTTCAAAATTTTAATATATATATCTCGTAAGAAGTTATTTTTGACCTACACTACTAGAAAATATAGAATTAGTGACGGAATTTGTTGGTAATCCCTAATTAATCTGTAGCTAAAAAGCTCGATAACTAATCATAGCTTAATAGGATTAACATGCCATTTTTGCTGTTTAGCTATGAAATTTTGTCCGTCACTAATTCCTTATATTCTAGCAGTGCTATATACATAGTACTATTACTTTCTATATACACTATATAAATTTTTGACGAAATGTGTTTGAGTGACCACTCTTGGATCAATGTAGCTACGCCACTAAGACCTCTATCTCTCTTTTTATTTAGGTTATTTGGTACTGATAAGGGTTACAGAAAGTTGAAGATGCTGAAGGAGCAAGAGTGCAACAAAGCAATGTAAACAAGATGGGAAAGTAGAGGGGGAATAAAATTACATGTTTGTTTGAGTGTATAAGAATAGTATTGTACACATTCTATTAGTAATGCTGGGATTAATAATGTAAGGATTAGTTATGTTGGCACTAGTAATGCAAGAATTAATTATAACATGCACCACATAATTCTAAAAAAATTATTCGTTTTCAAAAAATGCCTTTAACATTCTTTAATGAGAAAATACATCAAATCACCTTTGAACTTGACAGTCAAATTTACTTTAACATTTTAATAGTCAAATTTACTTTAGTACTTTAAATACCACTCTAATCTTACTTCATTTTATCTCTTAGTCTTATTTGAAGTAAATTAATGGAAAAATGTTAAATATTTCCTTGAACTTTCAAAAATGATATGCATCTAACCTAGTTACACTTTAAGGGGTTGTTTGGTGTGATGGATAAAAAGAATTACTCCTGAGATAATTTTTAAGTGACCTTTATTCTGTTGTTTGGTTGCAAAGACTGGAATAACTTATCTCAGGACTAATTGTTAATCCTGGGATAAGTTCTCCTCCCTAAGTGTGGAATAATAATCCCAGGATAACTTATCCTTGAATAAAGTATGCAAAATAACAAAAATACCCCATCCCCCTTAAACTCTCTTTTATACACTACTTTACATACATGTATATTAACATAATTTTTAACAACATTTATCATACCATTCACAACCTTAATTATTTGTTGTTTTATGATAATATATTTTTCTATTAAAAAATTACATTTTATAAATACAATTTTTATTTATGAATATATTATAAGTTGAATTTATTTGCCTAATTCTTATGTTTATTTATATTTTGATTTCTCTTAAAATGTTCAGTTTACTACTAAATTACATAATTTTAATTAAATACTTTACTACTCACTTACAAAATTATATTTTATATTAACCAAAATGTAGATAATTTTAAAATGTTGATAACTTTAATGATAAAATTTATTTTACTTTAATATACTTATGGAGGTCTAGTTTTTAAGCTAAATAAGATGGAACATTTATTTTAATACTAAATAAGATGAAAGTTTTATTTTAAAGTTACAAAAGATGGGAATTTCATCTTAAAGCTAAATAAGATGAAAATTTTATTTTTAAGTTAAAGAAGATGAACGTTTAATTTTAAAAACACACAACACAATCATGAAAATGCACACAAAAAATATTTAAGCTAAATAAGATGATTTTAAAAAAAAAGAATGAATAACTAATTAAAGCTTGCAAAGAAAATGTAAAAACAAAACAAAACTAAATAAGGTGGAGGGTATTATTGTAAACAAACAACTTATTCTTAAAAATCATGCAATGAATATAAGTTTGAATATGACAAACCAAACCAACAATAAAAACTAATCCCAACATAACTAATCATAACATAACTTATCTCAATATTACTTTTCCCAACATCACTTATCCCAGCATAACTTATCTTGGTACCAGTGGCGGACCCAAGATTTTCACGAAGTGGGTTCAAGATATAAAAATATACCTAATATTATTTGTAATTTTTATGAGGCTAACAACATACATATCTGACTATACTAAACAATGTTAATACATTTGAAAAAAATTTACATTGACTTATGAATGAGACGGTAAATAACAAGATGGATGAAAAACTAGGCTTCAATATAAACTAAGAAGATAAAAGAATATTATGAATGATTTCTCTTCATTCAACATTTAACAAATAAAAACAAAATATTAAACAAAATAATTATAACCTTAATTTCATAATCGAATACATAGAAATATACCTAATATTATTTGTAATTTTTTGTTGATTTTAGAATGATAAGGTATTTTTTAGTTGAAGAAATAAAAAATAACCACAATAATCATATATGTATATATAAAGACTAGAATCAAGAGCAAAAAACATACTTGATGGATATTGACTATTGATGCGAGATTTTGAGAGACGGGGAGAGTTTTTTTCCTTCAATAAAAAAATATGCTCAAAATTTTGGGAGGAAAAGTAAGAGAGGATCAAGAAGATTTCAACAAAAAAGAAGACAAAAGGGTTTTTAGAATTGAGAATAATAGGGATTAGTGCCTTTTTGGTTGAGTTTTTTTTTTAAAAAAATTAAAACAAAAGGACAAAAGTTGTTGACTATTAGACTTTTAATTGTAAAAGTAAAAAGTTGTTCTACTTTTTATAGTTTCTAAGTAACTAAAAGGACAAAAGTTACACCTACATAGAGGACAAAATTGTGTGTGAGCGTTTTATATATCAAAAAAACGAATTAAAACTAAAATGTGGCAATGGAGATTCGATCCCGGGTTGGCTAGGAAAATTGGACCCCCTCAACCACTCGGCTAAGCTTCAGACTTGTATTAGTGGGTTCAAAATTTAATATATACATATAAAATTTTAAAAACTGATTAAATATACATATATATACAGTGTTATTTTTCAACGAAGTGGGTTCATATGAACCCACTTGAACCACTGTAGGTCCGCCCCTGCTTGGTACTTATCTCAGTATAATATCCCAACATAACTTATCTCATCATCACTTGTATTCAAACTAAATGACCCCAAAGTCTGTATCTACCTTTACTATTATATTTTTGGGTCATATATATCCTTAAACCAAACAGACAAACACGTGGCATCATCTAAAATTTTTTCCTAGTTTTATTAAAAATTTTACCCAAAATTTTAAAACTCACCTAACTATCCATTTATTTTACCCACTTGAATTAGAAAAATTCTGATCCAATTCTCACATCGCCCATATCGCTGATTTCTACTACAAAGACGATACTACATCAAAAAATATCATCGTTGTCACACCCCAACCCTAGTGAGGCAGACAAGTACCATATGAACACATGCTTTACAAGTCACCTATGATGAGAAAGTAAACTACTACTATGCAGATATATTTACTAATGAAGTTTCATATACAACACATGTTGACTAGCTGAACCGATACATGTGACAAGTGAAACTATGAATTCAGATGATAGCTTTACAATGTCTACAAAGCCTCTACACTGTACCACTATGAAATACGCATAGTAAAGACTCCTCGACAAAGCCCCGAATCAACTTGGAGCTCACCAACAACCGCTAAGTATCATGTGCTTCCTATTGGGGAGATCTACTAGTTGAGTACTGCAACATGAAATACAGTGTCCCCAATAAGGGACGTCAGTACGAAAAAATGTACTGAATATGTAAGGCATAATACAACCATATGTAAAATGAGAGCTCAAGTGAAACCAAATACCAATAGATAAGGATTAGAGACCAACTTTGCTTATACCTGTGGAATCGTGTATGTTACATTCTTTTTTTTGCATTATAATATTTATAAGACGTATGATACAAATGACCAGTTGATCAGCGGTAGAAGAGGATGACCCATGCTAGGCATCTTAACCCCTGGGATGTTGTCCTCATAATTCCACAACTTGGGATTGGCCCATGCTAGTCTTTCGCCCCTGAGCTGCCATCCTCTTATACCAATTGGGATCGGCCCATGCTAGGCTTTCGCCCCTGAGCTGCCACCCTTCTATACCAATTGGGATTGACCAATGCTAGGCATTTGCCCCTAGGCTGCCACCCATAATTATACAGATTGCTTCTCTTAGATTCTTTAATCTTTTATATTGTTGTTTTGATGTTCGTAACTCTTTGGAGATTGTTCTTTTTGATGATCATAACTCTTTTGAGATAGCTTTTTGGTGGTCATAATCATTGTTGAGATTTGGAACTATGGACCGTAGTAGAAGACATATGAATATGGACTTACGATAATAACAATGACATGGGAAGCCAATGTGACATGAACGTGTAATACTTAGGAGCTTATATGACTCAGTAAGCATTTTGACATCTCAAATTGAAGCACATATCAAGTGAAGACATTTAATATTCAGCCAAGAGATTTGAACTCTATATGATAGCCAAATACTCACTAACTAATATCAAATACAAGGTATACATGAACATGGAACCAAGGGAGAACGTGGGCATATTCAACTTTAGGACGGATACATATTCCAAGTAAGTACATATAAAATGTACCATAGAGCAAGTAGGGATCTTGTGAGGTAACATTATAGTCTAACACAATGGGAGTAATAACCAATAAAGGGAACATATAAACATGTGAAAAGATGACATATATGATGGATTAGACAATTGAAGCAAGTTGGCAAGATATGGGCAGATTGTATATCTAACATATAAACATATGTACCATGTGTAATCTAGGATCATTTTGATGTATATAAGGGGAATATGTGCCAAGGGTACTTTGACGATATTAGAGTACTCACTTTAATCAGTCACTACCAAGGACACTTAGAAAGCTTACTTTGTAATACAAGCGTTGGATTCATGCCAAGAAATAGGAAATCGAATAGCCTTACATACCTTATCCTCTGACCAATACAACTATCACAATTCAGCCTCCCCTTTTAGATTTTAATCTACAATATAAGTCATGATAAACTAAAATTAGCAATTATCACAATGTGAGTCCCGTAAAACATTAGCTAACATTGACGGATAATGAGCCAATACAACCCTTAAAATAATGTGTATCACCACACCCTCCTTCTCTGCCCAATACATACATTATATATCATTTTCCAAGATTACCCAAGCTGCACCAACCACAATACACATAAAACAACCTCAAATATTCTTTATCATACGACCAATTATTGAACTCACCACCCCCTTAAGTTCTTCTATGACAACACACCCATAATTCCTCACTCAACTCATACATAAGGAGGAAGAAAATGGAGCAGTCACCTTACCTCAATTTCTGCAACTTCTCCTTATAACTTGAATTTCTCTAGAACTTCAACTTCCCTTCACACTTAAACCAAAGAAAAAGAGAAAAACATCTTAATAATTAAGGAAAGTGATCAGTAGCTTGTGGGAACTTCTGCCTTCTATTTATAATTGAGCATGAATAGCATGTTTTCTAGTCTTCCATGGGAGAATCAAGCTAAATCCATAAGTGTTTTTCTTACCTTGGTTTGCAGATATGAGGGTTTCTTCAAGAACCCTAGAAGAAATTTTTAGGCTGCTCTTGAGAGTAAAGAGAGAGATAGCTGAAGTAAATTGTGAATTTTGTGTTAAAAAAAGT